AGGGAAGAAGTAGATCGGGGGGGGGGGGCAAAAGGACTTGCCTCCCAGGTTGTTGCCCCCCCCCCCAATCAAAAAATAAAAGAGAAGCAAGGAAAGGGAAAGAAAAAAAAGGAAAAGAGGAGATACAAGAAAGGAAAAAAGAGGAAGAAGAACAGGAAAAAAAAGGGGATAACCACACAACAAATCGTCTTCTTTCTCTAATGATTTAATGAAACGTAAGCTTCCGCTTAGCGCGGGAGGAAGAAAACTCAATTCAGACGAGGATTATTTTTTGGGAGCGGTACAGCAAATCGTCTTCTTTCTCTAATAATTTATTGAAACGTCAAAGCTTCCGCGTTTCGCGGAGGAGGGAGGGGGAAATCGGCCCTCCCTGCACCCACCCACCCACCCCCAATTACGTCACTGCTGGTCACCATTACGAACCAATATTTGGCTCGCATAATTTCAAATTTTGCCCCCCCCCCCCTAAGAAATCCTGGATCCGCGCCTGATGTATATATACAGCGGCAACAGTTTTAATATAAAATGTAAGTTCTTCTTACTTAAATCATTGGTCTGGAAACAATTATTTGCCCATTGTTGTGTATTGTATTACATTTTCACTGACAATGAATTCACATTGTAATGCAATTTTCAAGTTTCCCAGGCCTATTTAGGAGAACAGAAGATTGATATTGTTTAGTTGTACGATAACATCACTCAGTTTGATTTGATTTGATTGGAGATATATCTCATTAAAAACAGAGTAAAGGCTATATAGTTTCAAACAAACCTACACCATTAAACTTCAAGCTCACTCACACATGATTTATTGCGACACTTTCAAGGCTACTTATTATTTCAAGTTCATGTATATACAAAGGGCAACAGCTTCAATATTAAACGTAATTAAATCAATGGTCTGGAAAATGTTAATGCCCATTGTTGTATATTATACAACATTTTCCATAACGATGAATATACATTGTATGATGCAATTTTCAGGAAAACCATACTTGTCATTACTGTTATATTTGTTATATGATACTAAAGCAAATCGTTTCGCTTATCGATAAGATAAATCAATGTGAAGTACGTGTCAAATAATGAAATCATTACGTGCTATTTTTAACCAGACTAGACATTTGAAACGTATAAAAAATGTATACACTATTGACAGCAAGCAAGTTTTTTAAACAAAGAATTCAGAAATTGAACAACATTGCACATTTTAGTCTACACGATATGCTCTACACCCTTAGTTGGACTGTAAACAGTTGTCTTCTTAAGTCTTCCATATAAATATAAATTTAAAGGAGGTCAATAATCATTACGAAAACACCACTTTCGTAAGGTTGACACATCAATATATATTGTGCACACATGTAACAATGTGATAATATTTTTTCTGGGGGGGGGGGGCGGGAGGAGGGCAATCCAAAAAGGGACTGATATGTGAACATTAATATTGATAGGTCGCTTCACAAAAGGGGCATACATAGTCCTTTTTGTGGATAGTTTTTTGAGCAAAACACAAAATAGGTGGAAGGACGGGGTACACGTCTTTCTTCAATTTTCTGAGGGGGATCGTCCCCCATGGATAATTTGAAAAAGTGCACACCAACAAAATGTATAGCAAATACTGACTAAAGACTGCAACACGCTTTAAGGCTCTGGTGGGCCCAAGAGTACAGCGTTTAGACTAATAGAAATGCTAAAATCTTCTCGCTCGGTCGCTACGCTCCTTCGCATAATATCCTAAAAATATACAAGTAAATATTGAAGAAAATATGTATTCTGTTGGTATCACGTATGTACAAATTACACTGTATGTTAACAAGATTAAAAGTTATAGAAATAGATCAGTGTTCCAAAAATGAATATTCAGCTTGCTCTTTTAAGAAGTCCCTTCCTGCTCAGTCAAACTAAAATTTACCTAGTAAATATTTACAACCCTTCGGACTGCACACTAGATATCGGCAAAGTAAAAGTGAAGCGTGAAAAAAGTATATTGCTTGTTTTTATGCTGTAGTTTTGCTAAAGAATGTAATTTTGTAACACAACAAAACTTCAAAAACCTGTGAGGGGTTTACATATAAGACTTATCATACAGCTTTATGGGGGTAGTCCCTTCCGTCACCTCCGCCTCTTTCACTGGCGTACTGATGGGGGGGGGGGCAGTAACCCCCCCCCCCCAATACAATTTAAACATGGGTTATTTTTAATTTGATACCAGTGATTTACAAGTATTGCTAAAATGGCAGTATTTTTCCATGAGCTCCCGGGGGCTCTACCCCCTGGAACCCACCAAGGGCCCTAAGGCGGGCCCTGTTTGCTCATCTGGCCGTAATTAAATGCCTAAAGTCCTTGAGCTTTCGGGGGCTCTGCCCTTTGGACCCAACCAAGGGGCCTAAGGCGGGTCCCTAGATGCGTAATTTGGTGCCTAAAAGCCCTTCCGTTATGTATTTCTTATGTATTTCTTTGTCTTTCTTTCTCCATATCCTCTGCACTCTCCTTATGTATTTTTTTGTTTTCCCTTTTCTATTACCTTCTCTTCCCTGGGTATACGTGCTTGCACATGAACTATATATGGCTAAACAGTTTTGTAAAAAAAAATATGCGCGAACGGTCAAGGAGTAAGAAGAAGGTAAAAAGAGAACAAAGACGGCATCCATGGAAGCCATGTGAGAGTGTCCACTTTTTTTCGCTTTTACTTTCACCCTTGCATTCTTTCCTGAATCAGAGTTTTCTCACACCTTGTAGACTCGTGCAGGTTATGATCTTGTGTGTGTGTGGGTGTGTGTGTGTGTGTGTGTGTGTGCGTGTGTTTGTGTGTGTTCGTGTAACGAAATAACGTATACAATAGCTTGGCAATTCTCATGGTTATGAGATACAATGTGAAAGGAATTGAGAGAATAATGGTCGCGTAGCTTAAATCAAAGTTCCCCATTGCAGTCCTCTCTTTTTGGATATTTTTGCATTTTGTTTTTGTAAGAGGTGTAGCGCCAGAAGAAAGAAGAGGAAGAAGAAAAGAAACGGGTGAAGAAGGAGATCGGGGGGGGGGCGAAAGGGCCTTGCCTCCCAGGCTGTTGCACCCCCCCCCCCTCTAATAAAAAAAAAAGAGAAAAGGAAGGAAAGGGAAAGGGTAAGAGGAGATAAAGGGAAGGAAAAAAGAAAAAAGAAAAGAAAGGGGATATCATTTGCAATTTTCCCCGGTGGATCGAGGAGGGGCAAAAGGCCCTTACCTCCCCCGCCCCCGCTATAACAAAGAGAGAAAGAAGAAAAAGGGAAAGAGGAGAGCTAAAAGGGAACAAAAAAGAGGAAGAAGAAAAGAAAAGGGTGAAAAGAACGTGAGATCAGTTCCGGTTAATCCCGCCAACAACGTGTGGATCGGGGTGGGGACCGAAAGGCCCTTGCCCCCCACCCCCCCCCCCTCGGCAAACCTTAAGGAGGAGAGAAAGGGAAAGAATAAAAAAGAGAAAGAAGAAAAGGGGGGCACTGGCGTACTGATAGGGGGGGGGGGCTTGGGGAATTCAAATTCAAACGTGGTTAATTTCTAATTCCATAACGGTGGCTTACAAATAATGCTGAATTCTTTCCGAGATTTTTCCTCAGTTTTTAGTAAATTATACTTTTGTATGCGTTTGTTGGAACATGACAAGTTCCTAAATTTACAGCCAGGCAAGAAATATGATTCTTGAGAAAAGTTAGGGCCCGGGGATCGGCTGGAATCGCAAGCCTCGAGCTCCCCCCCCCCCCCCCCTCCCCTCCACTTTTTTTTGAAAAGGTATAGTAAAGAGAAATTGAAATAAAGAGAGAAAGAATAGTTAACTAGCTGCTCATCTGACCGAAATTAAACGCCTAAAAACCCCTGAGCTTCCGGGGTTCCGTCCCTTGCACCCCGCCTAGGGCCCTAGACTCCCCTGGATGCTAATCTGACGGAAATGTAATGCCTAAAACCCCTGTTTTCTGGGGGCTTCGCCCGCTGGACCTCACGCCAATTAGTGTCCTGCCAGTGTCACAAATAAGGTATAAAAATATGTTCATCTGACCGTAATCAAATGCCTAAAACCCCTGAGCTTCTCGGGTCGGACAAGGTATCAAAATTTGTTTATCTGACCGCAGTCGCGTAGCCAGGGGGGGGGGGGTAGAAAAAAATAGAGAGGAGAGGAAAGGAAGAGGACGTAGGGAGAAAAAGTAGCAGACAAAAAACATCTTTGAAATTCAGACAAGAATTAAGAGTATAGAGAACGGTACAACGATTCGTCTTCTATCTCTAATAATTTAATGAATCGTCAAAGCGTCCGCGCTTCGCGGAGGGGGGGGGGACTGAATTAAGACAAGGATTAAGAGTATAGAGAACGGTACAACGAATCGTCTTCTATCTTTAATAATTTAATGAAACGTCAAAGCTTCCGCGCTTCGCGGAGGGGGGTTGAATTAAGACAAGGATTAAGAGTCGAGAACGATTCAACGAATCGCTTTCTTTCTCCAATGATTTAATGAAACGTAAAAGCTTCCGCGCTTCGCGCGAGACGGGGGGGGGGGGGGGAGGGGGCTGAATTAAGACAAGGATTAAGAGTCGAGAACGGTACAACGAATCGTTTTCTTTCGTCAATGATTTAATGAAACGTAAAAGTTTCCGCGCTTCACGCGGGAGGGGAAAATTGCATTCAAACGAGGATAATTTTCGAGAACGCTATAACGAATCGTCTTCTTTCAATAATAGTTTAATGAAACGTCAAAGCTTCCGCGCTGCGCGGAGGGGGGGGGGATGAATTAAGAGAAGGATTAAGAGTCGAGAACGGTACAACGACTTGTCTTCTTTCTCTAATACTTTAATGAAACGTCATATATAGCTTCCGCGCTTTGCAGAGGAGGGAGGGGGGAAACTCACCCCTCCCTACATCCCCCTGCATTACGTCACTGCTGGTCACCATTACGTACCAATATTTGGCTCGCATAATTTCAAATTTGGGCCCCCCCCCCCTAAGAAATCCTGGATCCGCGCCTGGTGGAAGATGACGACGACGAGGAGGAGGGAGAACCATCAAGACGGCAGTTTGACGGCGATGAAACTAAGAAAGGAGAAGCAGTCCTATGACTTTGATGCCACCACAGAGCAAAACCTTGTTGACTTCTTCGGTTAACATGACTGCTTTTATAATAAAGGAAGTAACAGATATGCTAACAGCAAGTTCAAGAAACATTTTATGGAGTTGCAGTTGCAGTTGTAGTCTTCTTGGTAATACTGTCATCGTGTAATATCAAACTTTCAACAGTCATAGAATTTTCGACAGTATACGGCAGCGTTTTTTTTTTGCAACCCGACTAAATAGGTTTTTTTTTGTAAGATCTTCTTACGAATGACTTGTGAATGCCGTGAGTTAAACGTACGAACACCTTGCGAGAACAAAACTCATAAGATTGGCGTAAGTCTGACGTAAGAAGAACACAAGGCGTTCTTACGAAAAACGTACGAACTCTGGGGCCATTGTATAACCGAAAATCACTTCGTTTCTCAAGAAGGTCTTGAGTTGTTCTCGCGAATTAAACGGCGTTCGTACGAACTCCGTAAGAAGGACGTAAGAAACTATGCACCATCTGCGAATCTCTACGAACTCTGAAATTCGTAGGAACAGGGAGATTCGTACGAACGAATCGTTCGTATGAACATTTGTGACCGTAGCATAACGTATAATTTCATATTCATCGCTAATGAAGCATTTAAAAGAGCAGGATTAACGGAGTAGAAAGCGAGATTGATGGGAGGTGATGATGATAAAAAAAAACAGGAATATAGGAGAGAGAGAGAGAGAGAGAGAGAGAGAGAGGAGAAGGGAGGGAATAATGATAATGAAAACACTAATAATGATAACAATAATAATAACAATAATGATAATAATAATAATAATCATAATAATAATGGTAATAATAATAATAATAATAATAATAATAAGAAGAAGAAGAAGAAGAAGAAGAAGAAGAAGAAGAAGAAGAATAGGAAAAAAGAAGGAAAATGAAAGAGAGAGAGAGAGAGAGAGAGGGGGGAATTGGCAGGAGGGAGAAGGGGGAGGGAGGAATGGGGGGGGGGGGTTAATCTTTTAAAGTACCCATACTTGTGCCACAGTGGGAGCACTGGTATATTGGTTTAGGCTCTTGAGTCTATGTACGAGAGGTCCAGGGTTCAACCATTTCTCGTTACTTGCATCGTCAAATTACCATTTGAATTGAATTGAATTTATTTTCTTCTGCAAAACAAACATTACAAATTTCATGGATTTTTTCACAATATAATAAAAAAATGTTGACATTAACACAAAATGTAACTGATAACACATTATCAAGAACTATTCATTAATAGATCTGCAGAAGAAGAAGGGCTATCAAAATGAGTCTTTGCTTGGCAGCGTGATAGCCCAGGGTTGGGTCGTGATTAAAAGAATAACAAAAAACTGATGATGGTGAAGATGATGATGATGAAAATGAAAATCTGAAAATAATATTGAATTTTCAATCAGCACTGGGAATAGATCAAACAATGTACTGTGACAAAAATGCTTTCTTCGTATTTAATTATAAATGGATTTAGGGTTTTACATGCAGGATTTTATTGAGTCGGGAAATGCATACCATAGATTTGGACCATGATGTCTTATTCATTTATGCAAGATCCATTATTTAGGATTTATCAAAAGAAGTTTAATGATTCCGAGGGCAGGGGAAAAATGAATAGTGTTATTCAATACAAATAAATTCTTAAATGAAAAGGAAGTAGGTTATTCATGAATTTAAACATAAAGATTAGTCTCTGTTGTGCGTTTATACCAAAGATAGTCAATGTCGTAAATTCATAATATAATTGGTTTGTATGAGCTAAAGAATGGGTGCCGGCAATATGCGAAGATCTTCCTTTTGCAATAAATAAATAAATAGGGTTAATTTTTGTCTTTGCACTTGAAGCCCACACCAAGATACAACATGACATGATGAACGAGTTATATAGCATCAAAAGGGTCTTTTTAGGAAGCTAATTTTTGTCTTATAAAAGTATACCAATATTCCTAGATATACATTGTAATTGTATGTAGCATGTGTTTATTCCAGCTGAGACTTTCATCAAAAATGCCTAATTTTAGAATAAATTATAAATTACAATATCTTAAGGAAAGTCTGGGGTATGAAGTTCGTTTGATTTATATAAAGAGATAGTTTATTACTTTTAAAACAAGTTAGATACTTTTGATAATTCAAAATTAAGTATACGAATAAGGGCATCCGAATTCCTATCACAGTAAAAAAAAAAATGTATAAACAATAAAAGGGATGAAGCATTCATATCAATAATATACGATAAGAAAAGAAGAGGACTTAATATTGATCCTTGTAGGACTCCACATTTAATTGTAAGATATTCCAATGTAAACCTACTATGTACCATGACAAATAATCTCTGAACCACGAGAAGAGCAACTTACTCCTCGAATTCCATACATTTGATTTTTTTTCCCCAATTGGAAA